ACACACACACACACTTCTCCGCCTCATTCTGTTTTCATTTACTCGTTCGTTATCTGACCAGCTTCAATCTTGGAGGCTACTCACTTCGTTTCTTGAAGCCCTCGAAAGGGTTTTTGAGGTTGATGCCTCGGTTAACGTGCGTTGTTTGGCTTTCTTGTCCGCAGCAGCAGAAAGCATTTTCGAATGTTTGAATGAATCAAAGTGGGTCGTCACCGTCGATTTTCTCTTATGCTCCAACACACAGTTGCACGGGGTGCAGAATAGTTTCGCCCCACTTTTTGCCCGGTCTTTAGTAGAAATGTTCGTCGGTAAATGAGATGGATTAGATGTTTTCCTCTTGATGTTTTCTCTATCGTGTGAGCTCCACACTTTCACTCTGTACAGTGTTGTTTACATTCTGTGATGCGCGAGCTGATGACGTCACGTCAAGACGAATTAACCTTTTTTTTTTCTCAACTTTGTGTGGAAAAATGCGGGGATTATGCGGCCTTTTGATAAACATGCGGCCTTTTAAAAATCTGCGCCATTTTGCTGATTATGCGGTAAATTCTGCGATCGCAGAATCGCGTTTTTCTGGAGGGTCTAGAAAGGAGCACCACAGCAGAGCTGGTCTTCCTCATACGAGGCATAGGAGAACTCCAGAAAGCTGCGCTGCAGTGCATCTCCGTTGACAGGTCCAGACTGGAAGATAATTACATATATTGCTGTGATTTTGTCTATTTACGGAAATGTTATAATGTATAATATGGTAAAGAATATTTACACTTACTCTTCCTCCACACTTTGTGCGATGCTCCAGCAGCTTTGCAAAGGCCTGTCTGGAGAATCCCGGAGAGATGACCTTGAGCTCTTCAAAGGAGCTCAGGAGGTCCAAGGTGTAAAGTGTGGAAATACTGACCCAAGCTGGCCAGTATCCACTCTTAAGGAGGACTTTCAAGTCGGGGGTCCACTGCTGCTGGCAAGTTTGACAGACATATAGTGGCAGATACAAGTCATAACGCCCTTGGAACAAGTAAATAAACATAATTAAGACACATTTTACAACAGTTCCATCTACAAATAGTCAAAGATGAACAGATATTACATGAAGGTTTTACTCCAAGTGGAAGCACAATGCCTCAGCCCACAACAGTAAACATATAACAACAATTCAATAGAAATCAAAATATATATAAATATATATATATTTGTTTACCATTGATGGTAATTAAAATCACTGGTTTGCCTGGTACCACAGTGAAGTTTGTGCCTTTACAGGAGCAGTTGGGTGCCTTCACAGTTGGCAATATGCAAGCTGTCAAAAAAAAAAGAAAAGCACTAATTACCGTTATATGCTGGCCGAAGAGACATGCGAACATCAAAATGCTAGTTTGAGAGAGCATACCTTGGTCATGGGTGTCATATCCACCTTCCACTCTAACAAGACACGTTGTTGGACTAATTGGTTTAAAAAAAAACCATTCATTAAACTGTCCCTGTTGTGGAGTGGCTGGTTCTTGTGATGAAGTACATCACAGTCTCCACAGAACCACTCCTCGGGGAGACACTCTCTACACCTTGGGAGGAAATACAAAATATTCTAATATCCTAGAATTACTTTCATTTTCATGTGGGTTTTCTCTAGGTATCCAGTTTTCTAACATCCCAAAAGTCATGCATGTTAGCTGAAATAGCAGGGCACTGAGCATTAATACTGAAAAATTACAATTAGTAAAAGTAATTTAAATAAAGTAAATGTTATCTCACCTAATAACAGCCGGCTCGTGGCAGAGGCCACCACAGGGGATGACCAACAGCCTCTTTTCTAGAAGGCATTGTAGGTGGTGTGGTCTCGCTTCTTTCCAGCGCTCTGAGGCTTTCTGCTGCCGAAAAGACCAGGATGAGGCAGAGCTTTTTTGGCTCAGGAGGAGGACATGAGGAAAGAATGTCAGAGAGTCTCTCCATATTCTTTTCTGTGAACAGAATGGGAAACTTTAAAAATGACTATATTTAAAGATGAACACTAAAAATCAAGGATCATTTCTTTGCTCAGTATGGAACTGGCCAATATCTTTACTGAATTACATTCCTCGTTCGAGTTCCTGAACTGTCAGTTGTGTATAAGGTTATTTTCTCTCACTAACCACAAATTTATTTAAAAAATGATTTTAGTTTTAAACTTAAAGCCATTTTTGTGATTTACCAAAATTTCGTGTTGTGCTGAAGGTTCAGTACGCAGAACCTCCACACTGGAAGACTGGAAGCCCTCAGTCGGGGGGGATGTGACTGTAAAACATCACACAGGAGGGTTAACAACAGATAACTGATGATTTGTATTATCTACCTATTGTTTTAAAAGCTTGTGAAATTAAATAAAGCATAGTTCTTATGACACCACAGTGGGAATGTCTCCGACTGTAGTGTCACTATGCGTTTATATATTGGAATTATTGTAGACCCTCAACAAGCATTACTGTGTTTTAATTCGATTTTCAACCATTTACTTAGTAAATTCATAAAATGTAAAAATAATTGGGATTTTAACCTGTAGCTGAGAGCCTTGGCGTCGCCCTCCAACGACCCTCCCTCTCGGCTTGCCACGTCCAACACAGCCCCTTTTAGGGGACTGTAAAGTGTCTCTACAGAGCGTGCCCGTTTCCTCTCTCTCAGCTGCTTTCTGTGACCAAGTAACAACTCATTATACGGTTGATGTTGCTGATAAACTGATACCATATGACAGTGGACAAATAAAAGTAAATTCATTCACTTGAAGAACATTTTTGCTTCAAAGTTCTTCCTACCATATACAACTAATGAAGCTAAACAAGTTGAAACGCTTCAAGCTTTATAGAAGTCAGCCTCTGCACCCAATGTGTAATGAGAAACCGTTTTGCAAAGCCCATATACATTGATCCAAAATCCATTTCTGGCCTGTTCAGCAATTTCTTGGATAAGACACAGAATAGTGACCCATTCAAGTGGGTAAAATGAATGAGGTCATATGGGTTAAAACACCACCTTAGCTTCAGCAGCTAAGATGTGTTCATGCTTCAGCCTCAACAAAGCCAATGACGTTTCGCTTCTTTTGGATGTGGGATTATTGGGTTCTGGGTTGTGTTTTGTTGCCATTGCAACACCAGCAGCCAGCCGCCAGACAGACAGACAGACACAACCGAAGCATGCGCAACAGCTGGCTGTATGAAGACAAACAGAGATAGAGAGACAGATTGTAAGATTGAGAATGGATAGATGAAGAAATAGATAATGAATGATAGAAAAAGATAGAGACAATTAACTATAAGAAAAGGTAGGTAGATAGACTAGGTCAGATTGTTAGGTTCTGCAGAAGTATTGGCTCTTAAAAGTGCCATTGGTTTTATGATGGTGTAGATACTAGATCAGTGTATGGGTTTGTGGTGTGGGTACCAGGAGCTGGCAGGAGAGAACAGAAGAAAGTGAATTAGTAGTGAAACTAACATTGTTACGGTTTTAACTACTTTCAGACAGACTGAGCTTCATTTACGTGTTTTGTTTCATACGCTCGTAACGCACATGGATGACGGACAGAGCCCCTCAAAAAATAAATATTAACATAACATATTAGACAGACTGAAAGATTTCACCTTTATGTGTTAACACTGACTTCCATACTGCAGTAACACAGCACCAATGACGTAGAAATCACCAAAAAAACACATTAATACAACAAAAGCAACATAAAAAACAACTAGACTACCGCCACACTCAAAACCCACCCACAAACAACATCCTATTAACAATGATCAGACACAGCGCTTAGATCCTGTCATGATGAAAACACAAAGCCGATTAAACACAAAAAGGATCAATCGATAAATAATCTACACAAACTCATTAACACTGGCACGGGAAACACCAATATAGTAGACACGACAATCAATAAACAAGACACAAAATATTTTATCAAACACAACCACTTAATGAACTTCCGAAAAATATAAATAGACTGATACGTAAGTGCTTGATATTTGATACGTCGAACTAAGACCTTAGCTTAGACCGCCCGCCCGATTAATTCTCTACCCTTTATGTGCTTGCTGATTATTGTGTTCTCAGATCTTACGAACAGTATCAGATACATGTTATGATGAACCACCAATGGTGGGTGACCATAAGATACACAGGCTTACAAACAACACGTTCTCTCAACACACATCTAAGCACAAACCATGGATCAGATCTAGTGATTCCAAACAATTACTATTCGTCACGAAGGCATGAGACTCGCCAATGAGGTAGGCAGACGTCTTTGCGTGCCAGCGCCATATAGAAATATTGGCGCATGGCACAATACCGGTGAGTAGACTCTGAAAACCTGAAGAATGAATTTCCACCATTGTTACCGGAATATCTAACCAATAACAAATAATTAATACATTATCTATCTTAATCTAGACACGCATAACAAAACCAACTTCCATCAAATCCAACCTAAGTAGCCTCACGTGACAAAAACACAAAAACAAACAGAAACTCTATCGTTCTTTATAAAATGCAAGAAGTTCTACCATCTCACGCATGATAAACACTAATAAATAAAACCAATACCAAATAATCTCCTTAAACCCAAATAAATAAAATGGTAACAACCTAAAAAACCGACACACCAA